AGGAACCCTACAGATCCCTTTAAGGAGCCCTTTTAAGGAACCCTTACTAAGTCCCATGATCCTCCAAGTAAGGACGGTAATTAAACAATCTCGGTGGCCGCCCCGACTCAGATTCGGGCTGGAAGTTAGGGGTTTAGGGGGTTTAGGGGTGTAGGGGTTTAGGGGTTTAGGGGGTTTAGGGGTTTAGGGTTTAGGGGTTTAGGGTTTAGGGCTTTATGTATAGAGCTATTTAGAGCTTCGGGTTTGGGGGGGCGTTGCCGCAAATTATGGTACTATCATCCACATGAGGAGCCCTGAAAAATAGTGTAGGTCATTATTTAATTTAGGCTTCTATAGTAGCAGCACACTGTCAAACCTGAACCGTAGAGCCTAAAGAAAAAGATCCTGAGGCGAGGCACAGCAGAGGAGGCGACGGAGCTGACTTTCAGGCCGTGAAAGCAGGAAAGCTTTCCTGAGATGCTCGGGGTTCAAGGTGACTTGCACCTGTATACTATTTGAAGAGAAGAAATACACGTAAATGAATGCACAAATTGCCTTTTGATTTACTAAATCTCTGTGCTACTAGTTCTCAACATAGGATGTGGACAGTGCCGCGGTTCCGCATTGTTTCTCAAGTCTTATGTATGGGGGAGGCTTTACAAAACCTGCTGAACAGGCCTTGGGCTTTGCGGTTCAGTTTATTTTAGGGTTCACAGCACGTGGCTAGTTTAGTTTACGGTTTCAGGGCTCGGGTGCGAAGTGTTCAGGAAGTTGATGGTGCAAGGCTTAGGGCTGAGGGTTTGAGCTTTTAGGCTTCGGGGGCTAATCAGGTGTTGAAGCGGCTCATCTAGACTCTAAACTCCAAGCCTTTGCTCGGATGAGTCCTACTTGGAGGTTCGGAGTACTTTTCTCCTTGCTCTGCACCCGGTTCAAGCTAAGTTAAGGCTTACTATATGTGGGTCATACGTATAGCCGTCACCAGGTCAAGAGATATGTTTTGACCTCGAAGTATCGAAGTGCTGCTCCTACTTGTCGGGTATCATGGGGAACTAAAGGTTAACTTTTATGGTTTTATAGGGATTATATAGGGACTCTACTACCCAAAAAATGTTAAAGGTTGCCTACTCGACTACGAGGTGTTCAAATTTTCACACTTCTTTTGCCCCAGCTTCCCGCGAAGGGCAATGCCTGGGCAACGAGCCCGGCTGCATCGTGGCCGAAGTTCGTGAACCTGGGTTTAGGGCTTAGGGTTTAGGGTTTAGGGCTTGAGGTTCAGGGTTAAGTTAGCTTAGGGTATGGGGCTGGTTCAAACTGCTCGGGGTTGTAGGGGTCAACGATTTGGCATGTCAGGTGAGACGCATGTGGCAAGCGCAAGCGGGGCTCCCTGCGGAGTTCTGCACAATCTGACACAGCAGTCAGGTTTCAAGAGCCCTTTAGTCCTATAACCCTTGACCTAGGCCCAAACCTCTGAACCCTAAACCCCTTAACCCTGAACCCTAAGTATAAGAAACCCCCCCAGAACCCTATCAATATCATGAACTGAGCAGTCGAAGCACTCAGCTGCGACCCTAAACCCCACAGAACAATACATCCTACGCCCCTGGACAAGAGGTTTACCTACTTGTCGGGTATCATGGGTAACTGAAGGTTAACCTTTTTGGTTATATAGAGATTATATACCTACTAAACTACCGAAAAAAGGTTAAAGGTTACCTACTCGACTACTAGGTTTAAGTTTTAGGGTCAGGTTATAGAGCTTATGCTTTAGGGCTTTTCCTCACCCCTTCTCCCGGCCACCGACATTTCGAAGCTTTGGGCTTGAGGCCCCGACAGGTCGTGGAAGAAGTAGACCATGGTGAGGCAGCAATCCCGTGGCACGCAAGACCCTACCCTGCGTCTCGGGGATCTACAGGGCTTCTGACTTCGACTTCGCGCACCCTAGAGAAGCGCTATGCATTCAAAATTCTTAAAATTTGGGCTAAATAGCGTCGGTTAAGTGCTTGGGGTGTAGGTTTTGTAGTCGGCTTCTGCACTCCGTATTGGTACCGGAATGCCAACGATGGAGAGTTTGAGCTGATCCACATGAGCATGTCGTGACAAGGATTCTCGAGGTGGCTTTGGGGGAAGGCTTTGGCACAAGGTGTCTGACAACCTCTATGTCCTGAACTTCCATGTGATACTTCCAGACACCCAGGGGCCGGGCTGTCCTGAGCCACAACCGGAGCGGAGCCCCGTGGCTTTGCAGACTGTCGCTGTATTGAGCTTTTGAAGTGGCTTGATTTGCTATTAAAGCAAGTCCTTTCGCAAGAGAGTTTCTCGCGAGGTGGAAGGTTTAGGGACGTCCGTGCCCGGATCCTACAGCTCGAAACCCGCAACTCAAAGGCTGTGAACTAGTGTCTTCAGAGAAGCATTTGAATACAGGGCTGGCATCCTTCTTCAACAGAACTCTCGGGAAGAACATCCTTACACTGTACAGTGTCAAGTCCCGGGCGTCAGTTCCAATATGCACAGACGCCAAAACTCTTGCATCACGAAACGCCCGACAAATCATACTGCAGTATGCGCTCTACTCTGCGTACAACTCGACTCCTTAATCGGGAAGTCTCTGAGTAGCTCTTCACTGGGCTTGTCTCGGAAGCCACACAAGGCTTCTGCCTGTCTTTGCCTCAGAATATACCATATGTACTACAGTGCCATACGGGCCTTAACAATCAGTATAGGATTTTGGGCTATATTAGACTATCTTTATAATCAAGGAGGCGCGGGACTACCACTTTGAAGGAGCACTGATTCAAGAATCCGTTTGTGATCTTTTTGAAAAACCCGCTATGGATTCCTACAGGCCACTCATGTAAACCATTAGAATTCTCCAATATTCCTGACGATCTGAGTTGTGGATTCTCTGGGTGGCACTTCAATCACATCTCCCCAACAAGGCCAGAAACCACTACAACGAAATGTCGTGGGTTAAGCTTTACCACTAAACCCTAATATTGATTCCGTTGCCAAACAGAAAAGCCCATGTCAAACATTGGCTGCTCGGGCCACGGCGGCCCATGTCGCCAACTGTACTTGGCGGCTGAGACCTGGTGTTCGGGGTCTAGGGCGCTTGTAAGGTTAAGAAGGCCTAGTTCATGAGTAGGGTTATAATTGGGGTAAGTCTATTTAGGGTACGTAAAACTCTACTTCTAACCTACTTACTAAGTCCCCTGCCCTTCAAAGTAGTGTTTGCTAGAGTTCAAGGTTGGCTAGGTTGGGCCCTTCTTAAGGTTTGGGGAGCCGGGCGTAGGCTTAAGCGCTTGAGCTCTTTGGTGCTCCTTGCCGCCGCTACCCCAGACGATGAGACAAAGGCAATGTAGGGTCCTTAACAAGTAGACTAGGGCTTTGGCATATATTATACTATAACTAAAATATACCCTAAACCCTAAACCTCTGTAGTGGGAGTAGGGGCAATGTAGGGTCCTTAAGAACTAGAATAGGGTTTCGGCATATACTCTAATATAACTAATGTACATATATATATATATATATATTTATTTATTTTTTTATTTAAGCCTCTGTAGTGGGACAGCGAGCACCGGGCTCCTCTTGTTCTTCTGCATCCGAGCGGCGGCAAGCAGTCTCAGAAGTAGAGTGGCGCTGTCTGCACTGCTGGGATCTTTGCCACTGGTCTCCTGCTTCTGTATGCTAGCCTACTTCAAAGCTAGACCCACAAGCCTGCACTGGTATAGCTTCTTCAGAGGAGAAATGCCCACTGCAAACGAACAACAGAGTTGCGATCTCATGTGACTTCGACTTGGCGTTAACAGCATAGCATGGTGAACTGAGTCCACAAGTGCAGACCTTGAGCCAACGAGCAGTCGTCGCGTAATTTTTAGGGCTTTGGCCGCTGCAGGGTGTAGGGTTTAGGGATTTGGCGTTTAGGGTTGTAGGGTAGGGTAAAGCACGGGTCTGAACGGACAGCATGCGGGGCACGGGCGGTCAACGGAAAGGTTTGGTAAGGGCCGCTGTTGGCTGACGATGCCAAGTGACAAAGACGAAAACTCATGATCGCAACGTGGAGACCGTATAGTCTCGTCTGCGCCTAGTGACCTAGCATGCGGCCTAGGTGCCCAATTAACTAAGGAATTGTCCATGCATAGGTCTTTCACGAAACAGAAGAACACGTAATTTACGAAGTTGAAGTTAAAGTGCCAAATTGAGGTGTTTCCGGCTCTTGATCTGCTTGAAGCACCACCCAACGCGTGTTGTGTAAAAGTGGTAATTAGTATTGCTTGATGAATATAAATGCTCTTACGACGGTCGTTGGTATTGCTACTACTTTACTTCGTACTAGCGTTGGTATTACTATGGGATCATCATGCTGATTGACTAGTAAAGCCACTATACGATCCCGGTGTAAGTTTCTTACAAAATAGGGTTCGGCGATTCCTGGATGGTGGCTGAAGCGCTGAGGGCTCGGTGATCTTCGCAACAAGGACAGTGAGCTTCTTAACGAGAACCTTCTACTGTGAGTTAGAGAGCTTTCTCCAAGACGAACCGCGTGACCAGCACAAGAACGCTACATCCGCCGCGCTTGCACCTACAATGCAGGGTCAGGGACCCAGAGAGCCCAATACCACTTAATTAAGGAATATGGCCTAACTTTTATTTGGCTTCATATTATGATTTAAGCTATATTCCTTAATTAAGGGGTATTGGGCTCTCTGGAGACCACATTCTTGCAATTACGCTTTCGGGCTTCCGAAACTAAGAGGCTTCTTTATTCCAGCAGTATCTTCTAAATGCAGTGGCTCTGGGTGACCGTTTTCAATAGTTGGGAAGACACCTAGATTAGAATAACTACTTAGAGGCCCAGGGGACTTGGTAAGCAGGTAATAAGTAGAGATATAAGTACCCTAAATGGAGTTGCCACGATTATAACCCTATTTATAATTAACCCAGTTACTAAGTCCCTGGGCCTCCAACCACACAACCCTCGCTTTGAGGTTTGCCCGTTTGTGTTCCAGTCGTGCAGCTTCTCACAAATAGTCATCGTCGGGATCAGAGTCCTCCGCATCTGCCTTAGTTCCCAGACCCCCCTTTGGAGGATCCAAAAAGTAGGTCCCTTAACGGGGGTTCCTTTAAGGGTCCCTTTAAGGGAGCTTTAGGGTTTTAGGGTTTAGGGTTGAGGGCTTAGGGGAGGATCCAAAAAAGTAGATCCCGTAATGAGGGTTCCTATAATGTACCCTTAGTAGTATAGGGCCCCAATTTGGGTCGGCTTGGTGATTGGAAGGTTCGAGGTGTTGCCTCTTCGAACAAGCAAGGACCTCATATCATAGAACCTTTGTAGTAACTAGTCTTATAGAACCGTTATTATAGCAATTTTGTTAACTTGTCGAACCCTGGTAGTGGCAGGTCGTGAAACGTAAAAGAAGACTCAGGGTTAGCCAGTGTAGACCCTCAGCCTCAGTTTGAGTTTCGGAACCCCCCAACTATGCCCGAAATCCCAAACCTTTCAAGTAAGGACCTCAAAAAAAAGGCGGCCCGGAAATGCTGACAGCCAGAAACCTGGCACCACTGGTAGAGAAAGGTGGGTCTCGTGCCCGCTTCTTGCGATGGCTGCGGTCTGGCCTGCGAACGCAGGCTATCGTCTGCAAAAGCTTCGGGAGACTCTACAAACCCGTAGTTAAGGAATTGTCCCTACATCTGAGATGGGGTCCATGATTATGGACCGCTGTTTCAGGGATGTTGGAGTGTTTAGTTGAATGTGTAGGGGGTTTGGATGATGCTTGGAAGTACTTCTAGCGTAGCCAGATCGGTGCTTGAAAGAGCTATACGCCCAGTAAACATCGTACCACTGTTATAGATGCGCGAGACGTAGAAGCAGCTCCCGTAGGGCTTCGCTTTTGCCTCCTTTAAGGGCTCAGGTTTAGCGCTTTCTTTTTTTGGGCACTTCTTACTGTCACAGCCGGAGGGATTTAGGTTTTAGGGTTTAGGCTGTAGCAAGGTTCTGTCAGGGTTCTCTCACGGGATTGTTGAGGTTTGGATTAGGGTTCCATCACGGCGGCTGTAACACGCTCGTAAGGATTTCTCTTTGCCCACCCCTGCATGCGTAAATTGTGAAGCTTGTTGATTTTGAATGCCTGCTTACAACTGACAGAACCTTCCACAGAACTTTCAGGTATGAACTTGATGACTCGTCGCAACTATCGTCTCGTGGCTGGCCAGAAGAACCAAGAATATGCTAGAACGATCGCTCCAAAGCGGCTCCGATTTGGAATAACCCCGCCCCGCGCAATGCCGGAAGCAAATGCCTCCCGCTCAATGGCTCGCGCATCTCGTCGGAGCTGCTGGTGTCGTCAAGCTGACGTCAAGAGGATTCGGGGCTTAATGATTAGGATAGGGTGTTGGGGCATATTATAATGAGAATAGGGTGTTGGGGCATATGATATGATAACGAAAACAAGAGACCCCCCAAAAAAACACCCTAATAGTACTCTTATGGCATCCCTTCAAGGACCCTATTCTGACTATCAACGCCCCTCTAAACAGGGAGTTAAGGATCCAAGTATTCAGGTCGTGATCGGTGGCACAGGCTGTGTAAATGCTTGGCTTTGACCCGACTGAGGTACCTCTGCCCCTACTCATACTATACTATGTTCTCGGCTTTGGGTTAGAGTTTGGGTTTAGGGCTTAAGGTTCTCAGTTTTTGTTTAGACTTTAGGGTTCAGGGTTAACGAAATCAAAGCTTGCGACCACAAGCAAACGTCTAGGCTTGGGACTCGCGGGTCGGTCTGGGGGTTGGGTTTAGGCTATCATTATTACTATTATGATTATGGTTACTACTACGATTATTACTATTATGACTTTGATTACCATTATGAATATTACTACTATTATTCCTACTTCTCGGGTATCATGGGGAACTAAAGGTCAACCGTTTTTGGTTGTATAGGGCTTATATAGGGACTGTACTTCCTAAAAGAGGTTGAAGGTTACCCACTCGACTACTAGGGTTTAGGGTTGAGGGATTCGGGGCTTGGAGGTGTTATTTGGGCGAAGACAGCACTTTCTTCTCAACGGTTGTGATATATTTGGGAGTTTCCGAAGATGAAGGGTACTTTATTTGGGGTCCCTATAATAAGGATCCTACTATTTAGGGTACTATATTAGGGTCCCCTATTTTCGGAATCTACCATTTTTATTCCTTCAATTTCTGCCTCTGTAGTCTTGAAGCTGCATCCCCCGTTCCCATCCCTGCCATGCTGACACGGTTCATCCACCCATCCACCATGAACTCGGCACGCAGACTCTGAAACGATTCCCTGGCTCTAAACCCTAACCCTAAACCCTAAACCTTAGAAGCTGACCCCACCCTGTAATAGTGGTATTATAGGAATATAATAAGGCCCTAATATAATCATATATAATCCTTATAGCCACTATTACAGGGTGGGGGCAGCTTCTAACCTAAACCTATGATAGCCCTTTATGATCGTCCATTCAGGTCCCTTCTAATAGTCCACACACAATCGCTAGTAAGTATCATGGAGACGACCTCACCTAGTTTAATTTCGCGGGGGATGTCGCAGAACGACGCGTAGAGAGCAAGAGCTTCCGTGCATGGCTCAAGCTTCAGGGCTCTCGGTAACAAAGCCTGGTGCTGGATATCAGTATTTGCATAAATTGTGATCATATAAAAATATATGACTAGTGACCATGAATATAACTATTGATATAACTCCAATTTTTGCCCTAAAGCGTGTGTGGAGTGAATGTACTGTTGATGAACCCTCATCACTCGGCGTTGGAAGTCTCATCCGTAAACTTCAGACGAACCGAAACCGTGAACCCTTAACCCCTGACAGTGAACTCTAAAAAAGGGGCCTAAATTATTACCAATACTATTTTGGTGGTCCTGGTAATCATTATGGTATAATATTCCCCAGAACCCTATTCAAATTATGAATGCCCCGTATATTACACCATTATAGTACCCTTAGAGTAACTATCCCGTAAAGGACCCCTTTAAGGGAACCCTACCTTCGAATCATTCAGCCCCTATGGGTAGTTGTCAAAATTAGAGTCCCTTTTTGGGTACCCGACATAATAGGTGCCGTATTATGTTAGGGACCCCAAAAGCCCAGACCCCCGGGAGGATCTAGAAAGTAGATCCCCTAATTTGGGGCCCTATACTACTAAGGGTACTTTATAGGAACCCCCATTGAGGGATCTACTTTTTGGATCCTCCGGGGGTCTGGGAGGGACCACAACCACCCTTATATTAAACCCACGAACCCAGGCAAAGAGACCTCGCGCCCGGCGGCACACGCGACGCGCAGAGCTGCGAAGAAGACAGGCCTAGAGCTTCCCAGAGAGCCCAATACCCTTAATTAAGGGAATATAGCTATAAGGTTCCTTTAAAAGGGGTCTAAAAGGGATCTACAAGGGATCTATAGGGATTAGGGTTTCCGATACCCCTTAATTAAGGAATATAGCTTAAATCATAATATGAAGCCCTATATAATTTAGGCCATATTCCTTAATTAAAGGGTACTGGGCTGTCTGGGTTGGCATCCGGGTGCTTCTTGTTGGAAGCCTCTGAAGGGTACTACTGTTGATGATATAAGTCCTGCAGTATCTTAAGGACCCTAAACTATGGGAATCATGGTATATTCCTTATTTTGGGAAATGCAGGATTTATATCATCAGCCGTATTGGGTTGTGTGATAGGGTCCCTTTCAAGGGTACTATGGGCTTGTAGAACAGGGTCCTTCTAAACCAGGAAATTAGGTGTCAGGTTTCAGGATCCCTTTTATCAGAAACCTCATTTGGCATAATCCCAGCTATGTTCATCCCACCCACCTCAAATAAGTTTCGAAAGACCGTACTGGCGTAGTGCAGTATGCGATCTGCTCTCCAAGTTTGTGAACACTTAAACAAATCGAGCTTGATTGCATGACTATAGCAAGGATATATGATACATTATAATGTAATCTAAAAGAGGTACTGAATATCAGAATCCCCACCATCATCCGACAAAGGGCAGAACTTTGCCTAATCAGGGCCCACATGAGTTCGTACGCTTTCCTTCTTCTGGTTTGCCGGATCCCGAGCACGAAGCCCACGATTACTGGAGCTTTATGACCTTGGGTGCTTTGGGCGATTTAGGTTTTCTCAGTGGTTTCAGGGTTTGGGGTTGGTGGCTTGCTGGAGCGTAGTAGGGGTATCAGATGGTTTCTGGGTTTAGGAAGGCCTCAGAATATGACTGTCGCAGCACATATAGTCGTGCTAGCAGTCGCAGGAGCCGCATTGACTAGACAATCAAGAGACCAAATATAGTCGTGCTAGCAGTCGAGCCGTAATGACTAGACAATCACAAGACCCGTAGTATCACGGGAACCATGTGTGAAAAAGCAACTAATGCAACATGATGAAACGATCCGGCATCGTTGCGAGACTTCGACCAGCAATTGCGCCCGTAACACGCCAAAACCCTCAATCGGATACCGAAAGCCTGAATCAAAACCTAAAGTGCTAAACCCCAAACCCTAACACCATCTGGGCATCCGCGCAAAGAGATGACGGCTGCAACCGCGCCTGGAAACTCCAAGCACTTGGGGAGTTTCAGAATCTCAGCGAAATGCGCTGCAGCCAGCACCAATATAAGGGCCGTACTAGTTAGAAAAGGGCTTTGGGGTATATCATACTAGTGCTCTAACAAACCTCCAAGATAGTATTGTAATTATTTCCCCCCCCCCCCCCCCCCACCCCATGATATGCAAATCAAGGAAGCAGAGGCTCGTCTTGAGGCCCAGTGAGAGGGTTTAGGATGTAGGGTTGAAGCAATATAGACCTTAAATAGTAGGCTCGTCGATACCTCAACTTTCAGTTATACCCTAAAACACCTCCTGAACCCTTAACCCGCAAAGACCTTTGAACAACATGCCATAGCCCTGAAGCCCTACACACCAAAAAACCTAAAGGCCGTAAACTCAAACCACCCCGATCCTCAGGAATTCTGGGAACAATTTTACATGTATGTATATATGTCTGTCCTCGCAAAGCTCTTGCGCAAGTCGTTCAAACCTCTAGAAACCTGCAACCAACAACATAACCCTAAACCCTAAACCCTAAACCCTAAACCCTAAGCCCAAGACCCTAAACCCTAAACCCTAAGCCCAAGACCCTTAACCCCTAAACCAATCTCTGAGCTGCCCTGCCGAATCCTCGGCCCACAAGCATCAGCAGCTCCACCTCAGGCATAAGCATTTTGTAGGGATATCTTGGGCCTCATTATCCTTCTTTTTGCTTATGTGCTTTTTTCGGGCCCTGAAGTAGAGCGGGGTCAAGGGTTAGGGTTTACGGCTTATCCTCACATAGGGCTCTTGCGGGAAGGGGTTCATAGACCAGGGCTTTGGTAAACCTGGTGGTGGCACCGCAGGGTCCCCTGTGTCCTGAGCAGGGACCGCGTCCGGGAGGTGTGCATTGAACTTACCTTTGGTTAGTAGGGAATGGCAGAATGGTTGTAATAGTAGGTATAATTGCACCCCATTCCTCCGTGCCCTACTAAGCAAAGGTAAGTGAAGAGCTTGGTGCGACCCTAGACCCCTAGCCCTGTTAGTAGCCTGCAGCTCTCGAGCCCCAGCCTCACGGAGGAAACTCACCTGCTCACCTTTGCCTTTGCCTTGAGGCTTGCCTGTAGGTTGGGGATTTCGGGATCATGTTTTTGTAAATCGCAGCGTTTGTCCCTGCCAGGTAACTAAGCAAGGGATCAGGTTTAAGGTTTAGGATTTTGGGGCCAAGTCTTTTGCTATCACTTGAAGCCTCATGGGGAACTAGAGGTTAACCCAGGGACTATACTACCTAAAAAAAGGGTTAAAGGTTACCTACTCGACTACTAGGGAAGTCAGGGAGTGCAGGGCTTTTGGGTTTCAGGGTTTAGGGTTGTATACTGTTGATGATATTCATCCTGCATGACCTTAAGGACCCTAAACTATGAGAATTACGGTATACTCCTTATGATGGGTACTGCAGGATTTATATCATCAACCGATAGGGCCCTTGCCTGACCTCTCATGACCTACTCTTTGGCCAAGCCAGGAATTCAAGATTGCCGTGTGACGGGTTCCCAAGGCCTGGCAAAGATAATTAGAATAGGGTTTGGGGGTACATTCTACCATATTTTAAATAAGGAGCCCCACAGACCCGAAAGACCCGACACCCAAATGCTATAACCCACAGCCAACGCTTTAGACCCTCAAAACACTGAGATTCCTCAACTCTAGATTCCGAAAATCCTTCGTTCTCAGGGCCCCTACGTATATGGTGTCGGAACACATACTACTGCCATCCCTTTGGGTTCTTTTCTTAACTAGAGGTTAAGGTAGCCCCAAACTCTATAGTTGATCATTAAAGTGCTTCTACGAATACTAGGTGGGGCTTTTAAAGCCTTTGAAAAATATTAGTAAATAAGAGTCTCTTAAGCCCAATAAGGGAAAATATAAAATGTCCCAAAGCCCTACCTAGAATATAATGGGCTGCTATATAACACAGGTTTGTGTAATCAAGGCTGTGTGGAGCTTCATGCAGGTCCGCAGCGTTCTACATGGGTTGTACCAGGGTTTCACAGCCGAACTCCCGGATCCAAATCCAAATATAGTGGCCTTACTTCATCGAAGAGGCTTTTGGGGATGCAGTTTAGTCGAATATTTGTTGAGGAAACCTAACGACATGTTCTGGTAACTATTCCTGCCCTTGTTTTATCAAAAGTCCCGAACAATCCTTTTCCACGGGCTCTCTGTGCGCGCCGAGGGTTTCAGGTCTTACTGGGTTCTTGTTGAGGAAGTTACCAACCATATTATGTACTATCGAATCACAATGTATGGCAACTTAACTTACATTCCTTCACAAGAGTGATACAAATAATCACAGCAGTTACGATAGTGAACACGAATAATTGCAATAGTTGTAATAGCCTAAGCCTTAGTAATAGCATCAGCAAAAGAAGAGCCCAGTCAAGGTTCAATATGGGGGCCTTAATGTTTGGAATAAGGGTTCGTGACCCATTATGCTATAATTATAGTAAGGATCCCCCTTCAACAAAAATAGCATTGGTAATTGTTTAGGGATTTAAGCCTCTATACGAAATCCTTGTAATTGCCCTTATAGTAGCCTAGACCCCTTTCAAGGAAGCCCATTCCAATTTTTTGGCTTTATCCTACTTACTTGTCGGGTATCATGGGGAACTAGAGGTTAACCTTTCTGGTTACATAGGGATAGGGACTATACTACCCAAAACAAGGTTGTATAAAGGTTACCTACTCGACTACGAGGTTATTGGGCGCCTGTGGGGCTTCCTTAGTCTTCTCTGCGGCTGTTTCCGACGGCGAGTGGGGCCAGAATCCGGGCCCGGCATAAAAGCCCGAAGTTACCGAACCCTTAGCCAGCACCGACTGCACTGCACCTGATGCCAACTCTGACTGCTGATGATCGCTGTAGGGTTTGGGGCTTGTCTCTCCTACAGTAGACAGCAGCTTGAACTTCATTTCAACGCTCTTCTACCGCACACCGTGCAAATGTCATGCTGCCCAGCCACCACGGTGTCAACGCAGGCAGGTCTTTCATGAAGTGTTTCCTTTCCATGCAGAACCCTACACGCTGGATCACAATGCCCTAAACCCCAAATCCCTACACCCGAACCCAGGCCAGGCCCAGAGAGCCCAATACCCCTTGATTAAGGAATATGGCTTAAATTATATAAGGCTTCATATCATGATTGGAGCTATATTCCTTAATTAAGTAATATGGCTTAAGTTACATAGAGCTTCATATCATGATTGAAGCTATATTCCGTAATTAAGGGGTATTGGGCTCCCTGGGGGGTTGACGACGCGGACTTAGGATCCGATTGTCTTTACCCAGACCCCCTTTGGAGGATCGAAAAAGTAGGTCCGTTAGTGGGGGTTCCTATAAAGTACCCTCAGTAGAATAGGGCCCCAAATTGGGGGATCTACTTTCTATAGATCCTCCCGGGGGTCTGGGTATAGCCGCCAGAGGCTTTGGCTTGCGGAGATAGCTGCATTTGCTGAACCTCCCAGTTAAACAGAGGGCTGAACTCTAAACTCAAAACCCTCAAAGCCCTACTTAGAGGCCCAGTGGATTTAGTAAGTAGGTTATAAGCAGAGTTGTAAGTACCCTAAATGGAGTTGCCCCAATTATAACCCTACTTATGAACGACTTACTAAGTCGCCTGGGCCTCCAAGTATAACCCCACGACCCTAGAGCCTTGACACATCCCCAGAGACTCCAATATCCCTTAATTAAGGAATATACCTTAAAACATAATAGGATCCCTAATATGATTTGAGGAATATTCCTCAATTAGGGGATATTGGAGCCTCTAGGTCTTGATACTTCGAACCCGAAAACACACCGCGAGTTTCAAAATCAGGTTTCTGCAGATTCCGACATTAGAACCTGAGCAACAACTATAATTATAATAACCAAAAATAAAAAATATTTCTAAGTACCCCTAAGAGGAGTTCATAGAGGGCCCTGAGTTCGAGCAGGTTCTTTAGTTTTTTTTTTTTTTTTTTTGTGGGCTCTTTTCCAACTGCAGTACAGCTAGAATTCCTTACCAGGATGAGCCAGGTTGTTGGGGCCTCGGTTTGATCGTCAATTCCTCAAACTAAAGTTGAACCCTGAACTAGTACCCCACTGAGGCCCCAACACGGATCGCCTGAAGGGTTTAGGGTTTAGGGGTTTAGGGTTTAGGGGTTTAAGGTTTAGGGGTTTAGGGGTTTAGGGTCTATTGGTAGAAAGAGACGAGAAGAGGATGCTGTGACTGACTACTCGATCTCCCATACCTGGGCGTTTCCGAAAATAGGGGTACCTTCTTGTGGGCTCCTTATAACAAAAAACCTACTATTTAGGGTACTATATTCGGGCCCCCTGTTTTCGGAAACTCCCTAAACCCTAAACCTTAATAGAACCCTTATAGATCCCTTTAAAGAACCCCTATAGTAACCCTTGAAAGGAAGCCTTAAAGGGTCCCCTATTTTCATATCTCTAAACTCTGAAGCCCCAGCAGAATGCTGCTACCTACTTGTTGGGTATCATGGGGAACCAAAGGTTAACCTTTTTGGTTATATAGGGATTATATAGTGACTATACTACCCCAAAAAGGTTAAAGGTTACCCACTCTACTACTAGGCTAGGGGATACAACTCCTGGCCGCTATAGGACCCATCACTCGACAACCCCCTGTGCAACCCTCTGTCAAACTGCATGTATCTAGCTCCTGTAAAACCTAAACCCAAACTCGACAGTCTTTCGAATTCCCCCCCCCGGAACTCCTCCAACCACCCCAACAAAACAGATGCACGACACTAACGGTCATATTCGGTTTCGGGTTTAAGTGGGCTTCTTTGGTTCAGGGGTCGTTGGTTTGGTATCGCGGGTTTAGGGCTTTGCGGTTTATGGAGAGGTGACTGGAGTTTGGAAGTAATGACGAGTGGCCTCCATGCTGGTCAATCCGAAGAGAGGCACCTGCAACAAAGCACCGAAACTTAAACCCTGAACCCGAAGCTTGCTGACAGGGAACCATAAGCTCTCGGCATTTTAATTCCAACCCTAAGCCTAAATCTGTTGACTTTTTTGACCTTGATTGAATGAAGCCCCAAACCCGGAGCTGCTTCTTACACATAGTCCGAGTTGTTCGTGTAACATGATCGGTATTCTATTTTGACTAGGCTTTCTTGCAGGTTTGGACGGCTTGCTCCCGCTGCTTCTAGGCTTCTAGGCTTCCCGAAGCAACAATGTCGGAACCCGATTAAGGAACCCTGGGCCTATAACCCCACAGTTTAATAGGGTTAATATCAGGAACCCTAATAAAGGCCCAAGGTTTCTTAATCAGGTTCCTACATTACTATAGTACCCCTATGTAGATCCTTATAGCAAGCCTCATAGACCCCTTTACAGGAACCCTTAGACCCGAGGCTTCTTAATCAGGTTCCTACATTAGCTTGAAGGTTTCAGGCTTAGGGTTTCGGTCCTATGGCGAAAGCTTTGGGGTGAGGGTTTAGTGTTTAGGGTCCTCCTTTGTATCCGGCTTTTGTATCGGAATTCCGCACCATACGTGCAAAGACCTTGCCTTTAGCCGCTATCCTAAACTGCATGCTATTGCTAGGTGCAGCTGGCGTAGGGGCGCAGTTCCGGTTCGTACATGTGAAGGATGTTCCGTCACTGTTTGTATCTGTATATGGGTGGTTGTCAAAATTATGGTCCCTTTTTTGGGTCCCAAATATAATACGGCACCTAATATTTAGGGTACCCAAAAAGGGGACCATAATTTTGACAAGCACTATGGGAGTTTCCGGAAATAGGGGACCCTAATATAGTACCCTAAATAGTACACAATTCTCGCAAACTCCCTCAAACCTAAGTCCTAAACGTGAACAGATTATATGGGAGTTTCCGAAAACAGGGGCAGCATATTTTAGGGTCCTTATAATCAGAATCCTACTATTTAGGGTACTATATTAGGGTCCCCTTATTTTCGAAAGCTCCCATATAGTCTTCTGTGCCATTTGCACGCTGCGGGCTTGGGCTTGCGGTGTCAGGCTGTAGTACTGGGTAATGCAGGGTAATGAAGAATCTATGACTCTTCGAAGAAAGCATCTTCAAATGCACGGCTGCTAATTGCCTCATGCCCTCTGCGAAACTGCAACATACACTGGATAAAACTGCGAACTCCTAACCCCTAGATCCCTCAAAGGATCAACATCTAGTCCCGCGCGCAGGCATCCTACCATCATACGGGTAAGACAGCTTGTTGATCAATCGCTCTATCATGAAGTTCCTTTCAAGCAATGCTCAATCCTAGCCCTACTAACGCCTCACCGAAGTCTCAACAACCCGAACCACAACGACACCGGCGCAGCACATCCGAGGGTTGAGGTTTAGGTTTTTTTGGTCCTGCGGGAAGCAGGGCTTATACTACTGTAGTATCACCAATTTCCAAACGACAAAGTAAAGATACACCACCGCGATTCCCATGAAGCTGTTTTTACACTCACCGAAGCCCCAATACAAGCTCCACCCCCATTCTCATCCTTGCCTCGGCTTGACAGAAGCCACCGCAATGGTAAACGACCTGCCGACTCGATGCTCGCACCAAGATTAAGATCTACAGGAACCAAATGGAACCAACATGTGCACAGCTACGGCCATCAATGAACATATGTCATCCTGCTAGCACCGTCAAACCCTAAACCCTCTACCCTGAACCCTAAACCCAAACTCTTTTTGCGCATCTTCCGCTGACTGCATGGGACGCTCCGCTGGCCAAGTTGGCCGCGGCAGAGGCCGTACCTTGGCTCGAGGGTACCGTTAGGCTTCCTTTACGGGATGCTTTCATGGGTACATATATGTGTATGTATGCATATGAATATATGATCCCGGTTCTCGGTTCACCGACCCCCCCCCCCCCCCCCAATGGTATCCCCCCCCATGCTCTCCAAGCCGAATCTGTGTGTGACTGTGCAAGCTTTTTCCACACGAGCGCTCACACGCCAAGCAGACCTACGCAGGAAACCCAAACCACACCACACCACAGGGGGGAGTGGGGTAACCAGCCCAAGCAGACCGACTCCCGAACCACACCACACACCACAGGGAGGGGGAAGCAACCCACAACCACACCACACCACAGGGGGGGGAGGAGGAACCATTGGTGGGGGGGAGGGGGGGGGCCGGCCGAACCGGGATCATACATATATATATATATATATATAATATGTAATATATATATATATATATATGTGTGTGTACGTGAATATATCACGCACATATATATATATATATATATGTATATACATATATATATATATATGAATATATCACACACATATATATATATATATATATATATATGTATATACGCATGTATATACACATGTGCATGCAGATACCAGCGGTACCATAATGGGCCCCAGATTTGGGCTTTCTTCGTTGAAACTACAAGCTAACGCAATCTCGGGAAAGGTGTGCCTTAATCTTCATCGACCCGACACTTGGAAAGTAGTCCCAGAGTCAAACTCCCGTGATCTTTGTGCTGAGAACCTGATTAAAATTGCAAAATCTCGACAAAAGACCCCTAAACCCTGAACCCCTAAACCCTAAAACCCTGATACGATCCTTCAAGCAACCCTTATAATCTCCTTCAAAGGAACCCTAATAACCCCAAAACCCTACATCCTAAACCCCTAAGCCCTTAAGGTTCCAGGCAGCACTGCAGCGACATGATTCAGTGGCAGCTGCGCTCTGCACATCTGTTGAAACACTGTTGTACCGCAAGGGTAGGAACCGTGATAGTTCATAACCATACAGACAAGACGATATCAACGACCCACATTCTGAAAACTTCTAAAGAACACAACAGAGGAGGCGAGTGTAGAAGGAAGGCATGAGCGCCAGTCCGCCAGGGAATTGACAGCGAACGAACTGCAAGCACTACTTGGAGGTTCATGGGTAGTTGTCAGCAGGGTTGTAAGTAGGATAACTGAAGCTATAACCGCAGCCCTGAAGTTTAAACCCAAAGCCCGTAAATCTTAAGCCCTAAACCACCCCAAAGCCCTAAAACCCTTATACTATCCTTATAAAGGAACCCTTACAATCCCCTTTACAGGAACCCTTAAGCCCGAAACCCCACAAATCCTTTTGAGAGCGAGGAGCCAGTGCTTGAAGGAGCCGGCGGAGGTCTAAGTGATGCATTAGGATGTCCTTAAGGGGGGGTGGTCCAAGGGGGGTAGGTAACCTAGTAATCCCCATTATTCCCCAATACTCCCTAAGCTTCCCTAAGGTTCCCCAAAGCTCCCTAGTACCCTCCCCCCTTGAACCACCCCCCCTTAAGGATCCTTTAAATGCAGGGCTGAAGCGCAGGTGTGAGATCCAGGGTTGCTTAAAGGATCATGGGACTTAGTGAGGGTTCTTAAAGGGCTCTTTAAAGGGATCTATAGGGTTCCTTAAAGGGATCTATGGGGTTTAGGTTTTAGGGTCTACTTAAAGGAACATGGGACTTAGTGACTAGGCGTATAATTAGGGTAGCTCTAGTTAAGGTACTTATAACCTCACTTACAAAGTCCCATGAGCCTCCACGTGATGGTGTATATACATTACTGACTAGATATATGTGCAGATGTAGATATAGATATGGAGCTGGACTGTGCGCGTATATATAAAAGTTTTCATTACCTATAGGGTTTGGGGTTTTCATATACAAATATATATATATATATATATATGTATGTATGTATGTATGTATATGTAAGGGTTTTCAGAAATTTTCTAGTGTAGGTTTTGGATCCCCGGCTTTTAAGGCGTCGGGGTTAGGTTTGTCACGTGCTCGGGCTGCAAGCTTTACTAGGATGCCCAGTAACCTAGGAATAAAAAGGGTACCCTTTTGGTAACAAGGAACCTGGGACTACAACAAGGGAAAAAGGGTACTACGGTTGATGATATAAATCCTGCATTACCTTAAGGAACCTAAACTATGGGAATTATGGTATATTCCTTATTATGGGTCATGCAGGATTTATATCATCAACCGTACTGGGCATGGCTTCAGGAGTTTGAGGCTTCAGGGTTAAAGCTCTATCGTTTGGGGGATTGGGGCTTAAGGTCATTTCAGGGTTCAGGGCTTTATAGGGTTTGGGCTCTAGGGCTTTAGGGTTTAGGGTGTGTGGTTCCAGGCTAAGGATTTGAGGCTTCGAGGTTCAAATCCTTGGGAAACGTGGGAGACGTTAGGGATTCGGGGTCCAGGGATTTAAGGCCGAGGCGTACTAGGGTTTTGCTTTCGAAATCGGGAACAAACTCCTGCAGGATTCAGCATCCAAGCGTTGGGCCCCAAAGCCCTTCATGAACCCACGAACCCCCCAAAAATCTAAATCCAAATCCCAAATACCAAAAATCCCGAAAAACTAAATCCAATAACCCGAAGGGCCCTAAAAGCACTAAGCCCAACAACCCCCCCCGGCGCGGGTACACTAAGAGCCACACCAGGCTCTGCGGATCGCAGCAAAAGCGGCTCGGGGATCCAATCCTCCCTCCTGGAACTGCCCATAACCCAGACCCGCGGGACGATCCAAAAAGTAGATCCGTTACTGGGGGTTCCTATAAAGTACCCTTAGTAGTATAGGGCCCCAAAATTAAGGGATCTACTTTCTAGATCCTCCCGGGGGTCTGGGTGCCCATAATCAGAAGGGTTCGGGGTGTGTCGGCTGAAAGGGCTCCTTTAAAGGGTTCCTCTAAAGGGCTCTATAAGGGACTTCAAGCAGTATGTCGTGGAGGCGATGCTGTTTACGCGGTGTGAAGGATTTCCGGATTTTGGATAGGGTTAAAGCCCCTGATCTTGGGAAAGCACAGTAAGATGAGATGCCCGAGTCTCGCTTCATGTGCTGAAAATGTCAGAATGCATCGCAGGAGGATTTGCCATGCCTACAAGTATCCGGCTCGCCCATGAACATGCTTCTTGTCCAGCAACAATATGCTGCTGCGCATCGTCATACACCCGACGCACTACATTCCCTGCCAGGCATCACGCTCACGTCCGGCTTCAAGCCCCGGACAGAGTTTGTGCGAAACTGACGGGACAACTGAAAAGCTCCCGAGCAAACGCAAAGGCCATGTTGGAAGCACGGACTCCGTTTGAAAGAGGTAGCGCTCGGTTTGCTAGTTCCTTGGTTCGAAGGCAGCCTGTGATGTTTTGACCAGTCCTCCTGCAAAGGCCGTTCATCGGTCACCTTTTAGGGTTTAGGGCACCTTAAACCCTAGGCTTGATCAAACCCTTCGAGACATGTGACTGTTTGCGGACGCCCAACCCGACCGAAGATTGACAAACGAACATCGACTAGCATTCCGGAACCCCTAAATTCCTAAATCGTTTATTTAAAGGCAGACTCCCAGACTCAAACCACCCACAACACCGAAATTCAATTGCTTTCAGCCCTAAACCTTGCGTTTCAAGGATCTGGATATGGAGCCGATATCAAGCCCGATAGCAGGCACTCAAACGCACAACTCAAATTACCGGACTTCTGAAGGATTTCCTCCCTTTCTTCCCCCAACAACCGGATATCATCTGCTTGATGTCAAGCCATGAACTTGGTTTGGGCAGTCACGATTCAGGTTCGAAGCTTTGGGATTGTGGCTTGCGTTTATGAGGCCGAAGAGGGCTGCAGTAGGAAGCGATAGAAACCCGAATCCCTGGAATCATCTAGGGGAAACACTGGTTGGAATGGGATTCCTACTTGTCGGGCTTTCACGGGGTACTAAAGGTTTGTGGTTATATAGATACTAGATAGGGACTATACTACCCAAAAAGGTTAAAGGTTGCCTACTCGACTACTAGGGATTAGTTGGGACATGATATGCTTCAGGTATAGCATTCAAAGTAATGCAGGCTTCGACAGTGGGCTCCTCAACAAGCAGAGCGCTACAGCATAGATATGCAAGTATGTACTATGAGCCGACAATGACAGTACTGTTAGTCCTTCAGAGCCCTCCAACATCCTTTAGTAGTAGCCGTGAAAGTAACCCTTCAGAGGAACCCTATTAAAGGACTCCAAAATTCTAATCATAAAGGCCCCTATATCAATGTCCTGCAGCCCTCTTGAGGGATTCCCTAACTTTTTTTATAGTATAGTATATACCCCAAACACTATTCAAATTATTCAGGCCCCCATATTACATCCTTATATTACCCTTATGATGGTATCCCTGAAAAGAACCCTTTTAAAGGACCCCTGATGTCCTGCAGCCCTCGTGCAGTACGGAACCGACTTGGCAGATGTGCGGTGGAAGAAGCTCGCGACTGTCCCTCGGCGCTCAGATCTTGGGATTACCAAATGTATATGTATATATATATATATATATATATATATATAATATACATATGCCCCGAGCCCTAGACCCAGCACGCCACTCTAAACCCAAAACTGCTCATGTGCCCGGTGGCTTTGGGATCTTTTTTGTTGTGCAGGCTTCAATAATAAAGTCTTTTCAGGTGTCCCTAAGTTGAGGCTGAACCCTCAACCCTTGAGCCTTCAATTAATCCCTAATCCCCAATAATCCCTAACACCGACCTGGACCCCAAAG